TTGTAATCGCGGATGTCAAACGAAAACCATATTCACTGAAATTTGCATTGAAATCGTGACACCGTCATTTTAAACTCACGTACGTTGTTTCAAACCGGCAATCAGTGAATAATACACAATGCATGTAATGCACAGTGTGTCACATCATTTGGTTCAATGCGCAATTGTGATGTGACACAAAAACAGGTCGAGTAACCGTATTCAAGAAGCAGATTGGGACCAACATTAACAAATGCTAAGCGTTTTTCTTCGCTTTATGTCTTCTGAAAGTTGGACTTTCTAAGAACGCACGATCCTTCAAGCTTTTTTAACTTTGTCATTGCCGGAGTTGTCTCCTTTTAATATCTACGAAATTAGACAACTCGAAGAACATAGTATAGAAATTTATCCTATCTAAAATTTTCCTTTGAATTTGAATTAATTAAATTGAAATTTAAGTTTAACATCGATATATTTAAATTTAATAATATTGAAAAAATTAAAAAATATGTATATAAAATTAGGCAGAATATAGTTCATCCTTTTACATTAGGCAAATTTCGCGCCACATGCCAAATGAATTCGGTTAACCTTGTTTTCGAGTTGGTGCCGAACTAGTCTCATGTGAATTTCGTGCTAATCAAATTTGTTAATAAAACGTTCTTGGGACTTTGATAAAGCCGAAAATTTCGTTGTTAAACTAGTTAAATTAATGATCTTCATTCTATCATAAAATTGTATATATGTTAACTTTTACAGTAAACTGACGTTTACCGTATCTAAGATATGATATTGTAAATATTTTCAATAACAACTTAAATATTTCGGGAAACAGAGGATTTTTTAAAGCAAATTTAATTTCTGTAATATAATTAAATTTGATTAAAGATATTCGTGAGTGTTTGTAAATAAATATCCGAGACATTTTTACTGCATATAAAAATAAAAAAAACACAAAACAATTCGTTATGTAAGTTGAAGAATGGGTGTATTTTTACGTTTATCCAATTTAACATCACAATTTCTTTTTGTTTTGCACGCAATTTCTAAATTTATTTCTATGTAAACTAAAAATTTTAGTGGTAATTATTTAAACGTTAGTAATTTTTTTTATCAAATATATATATATATATTTAAAAAAAATTTAAAGTTTTTCAGATTTTATTAATATTATATTATAATTGAATTGTATGTACCAATTGTTTTGTAGATATTATCTAGTGAAGTATTTTTACTTAAACACATATATATAACATATAATGCATTCAGCCCACGTGCGAAGGATTCTTACGTAACTCCCGTGCGCGCATAAAGTACGTTGAATGTTAAAACTGGCGAGGCATAGAAGTGAGATTTGGCCACAGAAGTGCAGCATTTTGTTGATTGCAGCTATTTCTATAATACAAGATGGGCATTCCATATTAGATAAGTCAATTATTTATGAAATACTAAGAAATCTTATATTACGAAGAGTTTTCCACCATTTTAAGAAAATATTTTTCGATTTGTTCTTGATTAAAATATTTTTAATTTATTTCTGTTATTATTTATTACATAGCGAAGAAGGAAGTAATAATTATTTCTCTCATTATTATTAACAATAATTAATTCATTATCCCTTCTCTTCTTATTTAATGGTTTATTAATAGTAATATATTTTAATAGTAATATATATTACATTACTGTATGAAACTTATTATCAAATACGCAAGCCATTTTATAAATTTATGACATATTTTAGAGATCTTTATCTTATTTTTGTTATAATTTTGGAAGGAACGAAAAAAAGTATAACAATTTTAAATTTGACATTGATTTACTGTCATACACGTGTAATAATGCATAACAGGAAATTTAAATTTCGTGACAGGTACATGTTATGTATTGCGAAGAAGATGCTATCGATTAAACATGAAATAATTTCTATTTCATGTTTTATCACGCGAAAGGATCTCGATATATCTACGATATATTTATATCAACCCGCATAAATGCCATAACAGCAACCATTTCGAAAGTGCAACTGCAACATGGCGGTCTAGAAACATCGAGGTCATCAAAAGGAATCAACATAACATAAAACATATTTTTTTTAAAAGATATTTATCATCGTAAATCGAACGCGATGTCATTTTGTTGTGCCGCCGGAAACCGCATGAATTCTCTCCTAAAATTTATGTATTATTTATGAGTCATCATATTTATCAGTTATCTCGTCATGTTCGCAGATACATTAATAGAATGAATCTAGCATACCGAATATATCCATGAAACCATTAAAACGCAAAGATGTGAAAGTAATCGCATGAATGTATGTTTACGTGTTGCTTAATAATTAACGTTAATAATTAATACTACGTCAACGTATGAGTCAAATTAGGAAACGTACAATGAATATTAATATACACATAAAAACGTTCGTATACTGAAATGTGTGGGTACTTTTATAGGAGAGGTTAATAATAAATTCAATGCAGCAAGTGATCCGATCTGTAGGATTTAAATTTACATTCTATGATATCTATCTAACCTGATTGCAATATTGAATGCGACACGCGTACGCGATCGAGAGACATGGTACATAACTTGCAAATCGGTATTCAAGTAGAACACGAATCATCGTGACATCAAAATAACTCCAAAACGATCACTAAAAGTCACTTTTCAATCATTTACGATTTATTTTGACATTACCGTGATTTATTGTTCTGTTTAGATATTAATACATTGGTTTACCCTTCTACGGTTACTTCATTAAACGAGGCCAGGAACGGATCGGAGAATGTTCCATTTATCAGGCTGCATTATGGGGAAGGAAGATCGATCCTGATATCCGTGCACCAGAAAGTCAAAAGGAATTTGGGGCTAGGTATCCGCAGCGATGAATGGTTGCGCGAGGTTTCGTAAGTGATGATGATACGAGAAACGCGATGATATCGCGAAGAGATGAAAAAGTAACGCCTGACTCACCCTTATCGAGGGTCTCTCGAGCCGCGTGTATGACCTTTCTGCGACGGAGACCGTCGCCCGCTAGGGCGCTCGTCATCGCGCTGGTGAAGGTCGTACCGGTGCTAGTCGCCGATGACGCGGTCCTAACATCGTCGCCGTTCGCGCACTCGTTCGTCGTGGACGTGGTGGCGGGAGTCGACGCGCGATGATGGTGGTCGAGGAAATTGATCGGGGACCCCTCGCCGCCTGGCATAATGTCCCGGACTGCCAGGGACCGTAGTCCTTAGCCGGAGGACTCTTGCGCCTCAACTGGACTGTGACTTCTCTAGTTCTCTCACTACGTCGTTCTCGTCCGCCCTCTCCCTCTCTGCCTCAACCCTCATACCCTCGGTTTCGTTGCACCAACCCCTCTTCATGGCCTCGTCACTCCTCACCCTTCACCGCCTATCGTGCCACCTAGCCGTTCTAGCTCGCACGATCATGACGAGGGGTGAGATCCCTACAAGCATCCCCCATCGTATTTCCGGTGCTGGAATACTACCCCCTCCGTGACGTAGCACCATCTACATGAGGGAGGTTGAACTTTGCCGATCGATGGCGATATAAGGATAGGTTTTAGCCGAGGCGCGAGATGAAACTCTTAAGAGTAAGAAAAAGTTTCTAGAACGGCAACGTAAAATCTAAATCTTCAAATTTAATTCACTTGTAAATTTTATAAAACTTATAAAATTTTCAATATATCTGTATTTAAAGGAATTTATAAAAAATTTATATCTCTTTTTTTCAAATGAGTAAAGATTCGTAATAAAAGGGCTATAATACCCGTATTTATTAGTCAGGCCTTATATTTAAGGCTTGCTTAAATTTATCATAATTCAGGCCCTATATTTAAGGCTTCCTTAAAATTTTCAAATGCTCTACGAATTATTTTATTGCCTACTGAATTGGCATCTAAAAATAAATTTAAAGAAGTATTAAATATAAGATCTGACTATGAATACGGACGTAAAATATCTTGTACTGTATCGGATTGCTTATAGCGAATTCGATTGGACGCACTCAGTGCGTACTGGTACGCATTAAAGCCGTCGTATACAAAATAACGTAAAGACATGTTTATAAATAAACATAGAAATCGATTAAATCGTGAAATACTTTATACATTTTATTGTACAATACTATTAGGTAAAATATGTATTTCATAATTCGAAATATTTGCATTTCATTTTTATACTTAAATTAAATTAGTGTACAACGACTTTAATATGCACCAGTGCGTACTAGTTCTTCCAATCGAATTCGCCATTAGAAAAATAAGGAAGTAACAAAAAATACTTTTGTTTTCTTGCGTTTTCGTATCTTTATTAAAATACTTATACGCTTAACTTACACGTATACTACACAAGTCCCTACACGTTACTCGCGCAAGTCGAGCTTCCGCACTTCGATCTCGCTGGAAGGACGCCGGCACAAGCTCGGCGCCCTTTTTATAAGCACGCGTCGCGACGGACGATCGATTTGCCGCCGGCGACGCAGAATTTCCCAGAAGGGGACATCTCTTTACACAACTGATATCACGTTGGTATTTTGCTTTTAATCTTCCGACACACATAATTTGCCACGACATCTTGAACAATAAAATATCTCCCGGTAATAAAATATCTTCTCTAAATGAAGGTGCCTGGAGAAGAGAATATTGATCATTCCTTATGCATGATAAACTTGGTGATCAATTTACTATTCTGCTATTGCGCCGTAATTTAGCTGACATTTTAGGTCAAACATTAATTTGCCTTTTGTGACGTAAAATGAGACTTTTTATTCATGATTTGATGTGTAATTAAAAGATTTTATGTATTTCTATGTACGAAAAGCAATCTGAGAAAATATGAAGACATAATTGTAGTTTTGGACATTGGGCATTGATGAACATTACGACTTTTAGAAATTCGATTTGTTAACACGATATATCTCTATAAATAAATAAAAATTATGCAAAAAGTGCAATAATTAACACTCTTCTGTCCGATGAAGTTCAATTCAATTATTCAATTCTTAGTTTTTTACTTGGTTTTTCGGAATTTTCAGATCTATTTAAAATCAACATGTAAGACGTTAAGATATCATTTACCAACATATTGATATAGAAAATGTTGTTAAATCATTCAATATCTTTTGCTGTATTTTTTGACAGTGATAGATACTCATAATAAACAATTCTCGAGACTTCTGCTTGCCATCTACAGTTTATCTTTTAACGATCGGATAGGAAAGTGCTAAGAATAATCCCACAACCGAATTATCGAATTTCCCTCATCTCTTCATAGCATCATCCATCTTGGGCCTCGTCATTACACATCGACCCCTGTAACAAATCTCTGTCATGTGAGACACTTTCGTTGTGGTCGAAGTTTTTAGGACTTTGCCCATCATCGTAGAGTTCGTCCTAAATATGTTACCCATTTGTCTACTCGATGTCGTGGAAGGTTCTGTTATTAAGGTCTCCTCGGTCAGTATTACTGTATTCGTGGTCGTATCTGGAATCAATGTGGTCGTTTCGAAATTAATAGCGCTCTCCGTCGTCGTTTCTTGTATTTCTTTAGGTTTTGTCCCGTTCTCTTCAACCTCAACACGTTGCGTCGCGAAAATATCCTGTGGAGAGTTAGTCGTGGCGGCTTTTTGATCAATCTCTTTACTTTCTTTCAAGCTTGCCACGTGTGCCAAAGTCCTATTCGTATAATTATCTGTCTCACTTTTAGCTTCGGTCACTTTCGCGATCTCCCCATCCTCCTCGGCGTTTTTCATACTGTCGAAGATAGCCTTCACGTAGTCGGAGAGTGTTTTCACAGTGCTCTCGCCCTCGTTTCGCGTAATGATGCCGGGGATAGGCGTCGTGATATATGAATTTATGGTAGTTTGTGACCTATCGAAATCTGACGGGTATCTTACTTCGCTCCACTCGGTTTTATGATTCTTCGGGTGCGCCTCGTTATCTTCGATGTTTTCTTGCCTCTTTAACGTCATTACATGTTCCTTCTCTTTACTGATGGCACTCGATTTTTTATCTTCCTTTGGAAAACCAGCCAGTTTCGTTGTGCTATCTTCATTTTTCTTCGAGATTCCTGTTCCATCGGGATAATTTGATGGTAGATTATATCTTTGATTAAATATTTCGACGTTTTCCAAATTATTCTCGCTCTTATCTTCCTGAGAATTCTTGTATCTTTTTGACTTAACTTCTTTTTGCACTTCAGTTTCTCCCTGCAACAAATGAGTTGTTCCTTCAGTTATCGCTTCGTGGGACTTATCTTTTGATTCGTTTAAATTTTCAGTTACCGTTGAAACGCGTTCTTCATCAATATTCGCTATCAACGTCGTATCGATCGGTGTGTAATTCTCTTTCAAGGTTGTAACTTGACCATCATCAAAGAAGACGTACGGTGTCGTCATTGGTGTCGATACCGTCCAATCGGGTATTTCGGTAGTAATCGAAGTGATACGAGTCGGAATGGAGACTTCATCATTCTTCAACATCTCTTCCAGAAAATCCTGGAGAAGCGATTTCTTGGCCGATTCTGCGGTTGTCGTACTACTTGTGGTAACGGTCGTCGCAATCGGCTGAGCGGTGGTGAACCGCGAGTCGTGAATCGGATTGTACTTGTATTGATCTTGAACCAGACTGTTCACCGCAGAATTGTAGTGCTGAGATTCGGCGGTAACGAAATCGTCCACGAGTGGTCTTACGCGCACGCGAACTTTTCTTCTCCGAGTCTGAAAAATAAATTTTTTATTTATTCTGTGTTGTCTCCTGCAGAATAGAATATTACGAAGAAAGGCTCTCACATACAACTTAAAGGACTCCGCACTAATTATATGGAAAATTGAATCCTGATGAAATAAATTAGTTTTCAAATATAATGTAGCTTGTAATGTAAAGAAGAGATGTCATAGATATAAGGCTCAATAATGTTTTGAGCTATGATATATCAAAGGTGCTCTGTAAGTACAAATTTTACACCTTTTATACATCGTAGCTCACAAACTATCCATTATTGAGCCTTGTATTTGTAACATCTTTTGTTCACCATATTATAAGCTGTGAAAACTGAAATTCATTTTAGGGACCCAATTTTTCATATAATTAATGCGAGACTATAATTAGTCCTTGTAATGTTACATCCAAATTCAGTTTACATGTTATTTGTTTAACAACGTTAATTATTTATTTTTCAAAAATATTAAATTGTTCTATACTTTTATTTTAGTATATTTTAAAATATTTTACCTTTCTACCGGTAAGAGAATCAGATTTTATCACCCTCGTATTGTCATCCATCTGTTTCGAAAAGTTTTTGTTTTGATCGCTCCAGTCCCGCGATTCTGGCAACGTTTCCTTATCGCTTTGGGATTGATCCTGAAGCACTGTTGTCGCTAAATTTGTCACTGTCGTCGTAGCGATCAATTTCTCCGTGGGATCCTGCGCGTTCGTTTTCCATCCGAAACCATCCATCATTGTGTCCATATTGTCAGCATCGTTTAAATGTTTTTGATAGTCCGAGGAAACGACCATCGTTACCGGTGATACCTCTGGTCCAGCCGTAATAATCTCAGGCGCGTTTTTGTTCTCCTGATCATTATCGGTTTTGCTTCGGCCTCTTTTCGATTCACCAGCCACGCGATTCGAGGCGAAGCTCGGCTGGAACGATGTCTTCGACAGCTTCGTGGACCACTGACTTTCGGCGCCGTAAATGTCACTGGTGGACTGCGCGCTCGCATCCGGGCGATTTGAGTGGCTATACTTCTTCGGTGAAATACTAGCCAGCTGGGTCTGATCGTATTCTTCACGCTGCGACACTTGTTCCGGCAGATTGCCGAAGTTTAGAACAAATTCTTGAGGCGGATACTGGAAACGTACACATTACATTTAAGCAATCTAAAGGAGCGAGACATATCTCGTAGAAAAATATTGGTAACAATAATTTAGCCATATATTTATATAGCAATAGCTTAATACGCTTTCATAATTGTTTCTTTATTTTAAAAGTGACAAATTCAAAAAATGTAATTTTCAAATTGTTACCATTACTAAGTTAAATAAATATCACACAATTATCAAAAGTGAATTAATTTAATATTTCATAGGAAATCATTAAAATCGTTACTATTCAAAAAGTATGATTTTTAAAAGAAGCCGTCAAAAAGGGTAGTAAAACGAAAATGATATTTAATCAATAATTTTCTGTCAAGTTGAAAAATAATTTTTTTCCTTTTTTAGGAAACTAATTGTGTCACATTTGAAGTAAGGGAACGATATTTTAAATTACAAATGAGAAAAAAGTTTTTTTTCTTTCTTTTCGTAATATCTATTTATTATATCTAGTATTTATTCTGTCACAACGCGATCCCGAAAGAATTTACTTACGTTTTCGCTGTTTTCCTCGTAAAATTGTGTCGGTCTATTTTGATTTGGCATGAATTGCGGCGCGACGTCGAAATTGTCTTCGTAGAGAGGCTGTTGTCCGCTCGCTGTCACGGGCAGCTGTTGTGATGGTATTCGAGGGTAGTTTTCGTCTAGCGGTAATTCGTTGTTTGCCTCGAGGCCGGATTCCGTGGTTGTGGTAATGCGTTTCTTCCCCGGCCGCCGAATTCTACCTCGTGGTCTTGTCGACTTTGGCTCATCCGGTCTTGTTTTCGATTTTGTAGTGTATACATCGTCTGGTATCGTCGTCGCAACAGGTACAGTTTCCGTCGAAGTGCTTGTTGTTGTCGTCGCGAATATTTTCGTGGTCGGACGACGATTCGAGGTTTGGTATTTTGGACGATTTTTTAAAACGTGTGACGGGCTCGACTCCACCGCCGTCTCGTCATTGGAGAGAAAGTGCTGTATCTATGGCACGTTTATTATTTTTGTTTTTATTTTTCAAGCTTTTTAGAAAATTGATTCTAAACATTTTCTGCGTTATACAGTACCTTGAAGGGATGATTGATGGAGCACACATTACGAAAATTTCATTTAAAAATTTCTTGTGAAAAATCCTTTTTGGACAATATATTAAGAAAATTGAATAATTTTAAATATCGAAGATTGATTGATTATATAAAAATATATATGCTTTTAAAAATTGCTATTTCAGTCAAAGGTTATATTATTATAGCAAAATGCCAATATTTTTTAATTAATATAATTTCTTGATTAACAAGTACGAAAGTTTTTTGAAATACTACAGAAAAAATTGTTGTTCAAAGATTTATTTATTGTTGTGTGTAAAATTGCTTTTTCTTTTTCTATTATTTTGTGGAACATACCTCGGACAAAGGAGGTCTGTATGTAATCGGTGCTTGGAATCTGCTATCCACCGGATGCACTGGATGCACCGGTTGGAAGTTCGGTGGCCTTATGAATCCGTAATCGACATCCTCCTCCACCGTTCGAGCTGTTGTAGTTGTCGTCGGTGGCGGTATGGTGGTGGCGATCAGTTTCTGCTGTTGAATCGTGTGTATCTTTATGTACTCGTTACCCTCTGTTTGTACCTGCGACCCGTGACTTTGCGGACGCACGCGTGTCCTCGTCCTCGATCCATCGCGATGCCGATGACTGGTGCTACGACTGGAATCGTTGTTCACAGCGCTGAAACGTACGTATTCGTCCTGAGAACCGCGGGGTCGCGTCTGAATCGCAGAGTCGTGATGAGTGCGACTGCCTCCTAGACGAGCTCGAACTCGTTGACGTATTATTAGGGGTGCAGGAGTGGTTGTGCTAGTCGTGGTGATCTGAGACAGAAATCATTATAACGATATTTTTTAAATATAAAGAACGCCACTAATTGGTCAAAGTTAGATGTTATGAATATAATACATATTCTTAATTTTTAAATTTAATTATCTCAAATATGACTGTGCGCCGAAACGTTCGGACATTAACCACAATTGATCTGAGATGTTAATAATATAAATATGATAAGGCGCAAACATTCGGACATTCCTATATATGAAATAATCCACCCTAAATTAATTTGATAAAGAACTTATTGGTATATTGATATTTTTTATTATAACTTTGACTTAACTTTGAATTTTTTTAAAAAATCAAACCTTATGCATAAAGAAAGTAAAGTACAACCTTATAGAGAGTATTTGTGAATGTTTATATAAATCGATGCATGTAGTATTTATAAATGTTAAAAAATTTATTTAAAATATATCAATTATACGTTCCAGTTAACGAAGTTTAAATTTGTACAGTAAAATTTTATTTTCTATAGTATTCTATTTTTATGTGTGTGTGTATTAATAGTATAAAATCTTTAATTATAATAGAATTATAATGTAGAAATTATAATTAATTATAATTTATCGTATTGCTAGTGAAATTTCGTCACATAAGAATGTCTTTAGAATATACAACTAAACATTTGTTTAATATTGAAATATTATTTTAATATACATACTTCCATAAACGATGTCTCTGTCGAGGGGATCTGTAATTCGTAATCCTCCTGCTTGCTCTGTTGAAGTGGAATGAAAATCGGTGACGCATTTGGATCAGTTTCTATCGCTGCACTCTCGAGCTTGCCGGCATTATAATCTGGTGGAGTTTGCGTCTCATAAATCGGAGAATATCGATGTTCCTCGCCAGGCATTATTTGCGGGTCCATTGTCGTGGCCAGATTGTAGTTGGTTTCTTCCTGGTAACGCGAATATTCTTTGGGTCTCTGGGAAATCGTTTGGTCTGAATTCTCATTTGCAATTTGATAATTGAATCCATTCACCGGAGCATTCTCGAGTCCCGATGGCTGGAAGTTATCGTTCTGATCGTACACTGCATCTTGTTGCTGATAGCGCATAGCTTCTTGAGGGCTGTTTTGCTGGTAATTTTGACTCCTGGAGTAATCATCGGACACTAAAGGCGTGCTGTGCTGGACCTCGCGCAACGGTGGATAATTATCGGTTTGCATGGGAGCAGTCGAATAATTTTCCGGATAATTGCTCATCCCTGACAAAGGAGTTTCTTTCTGTTGGAAACTAGAAGCGGGTCCGCTCGGCGGTGAGTACGTGTCGGGAGATACATTACTCTGCGAATCTCTTTGAGGATAGTTCTCGAAGTTAGCTGCTTGCATGTTGTGATTTTGGATCTGGACAAGTTTAGGGAACAATATTTACATAAATGGGTACAATCCATATAACAAGCTAACGTCATTTGTTGTCATTTTGACGTTAATATAATTTTATTTTATTACGAATAATATAGGTAATAATAATTATAAAAATAGAGTTCCCAATCATAATTATTTACCATATAATTATAATTACAAATACTACAAATTTTTTTTCTGTGTGTATCTAGAAATATGGAATTTTCACGTTTTTTTTTCAAAATCTTGATATTCGAATATTATAAAGAAGTGAGATTAAAAAATTAATCGTACCGCGGACTGGGAATTCGCTCTATCTCGACTTTTGAACTTTTGCGTTCTGGATGTTGGTCTTCTGTGTTCTGTGTTTGCGCTATATTTCTGCGTGGTCTCCGGCGTTTTCGACTTCGTTGGTTCATAAGAGGAATCGTTGTAATCTTCCGTTGTGGTCGTAAATCTAGACTTGGATCGATTGTACGTTGGTCTTCGGGTTGGTCTTTCCGTTCTGTTACCAGGTGCCTGAGTCGTTCTAACTCTTGTAGGTACGATTCTGCCTCTATACATGATCAGATATAATTCTAATATATTAACGTCTCACTGACATTCACGATTGAAAAATTTTTACGCTCTACTTAAACTTAAATCATCAATTTCGATAAAATAGCATAAGAGTTTTATGTGGAAAAATTTTATGTCATTTCGACACGATATAAATTACGATACGTACTTAAAAATCAATAAAAAAACCTTGAAGAATATTACAGAAAAGATATTTTAATTATTAAACATGAATTATATATTAAATTGTGACTAATATGAATATCTATTTCAAAAATTTAAATAACAAAAGATATTTTATGTAATAAAATTATATTTAAAAATTGTGTTACACATAAAGTATTATAAATAAAATTACACTCACCTTCCTCGTGGTCTATAAGTTGTGGAGCTTATACGAGTAGTCGTCGTTGTTGGCCTAGTAGTCGTGGTCGTTGTCGGTGGTGGTGTCGAAGCAATAGGAAGATTTCTCTCTTGCTTGTCTAACAAAGAATTTACCAAACCCGGCAAATGCGGAGAGATCGGTGGTAATTCTGCTGGTAAATTGTATTGTGTTGGTCCTACTGGCCCTCTGACGTCATTGGCATCGTACGATTCACCTAGATTGGACTGGGAATGATATTGTTCAGCGATGTATTTCTGAGACTCTCTTTGCTGTTGGCCAAGCTCTTGATTGATGAGCGCTAATTGAGCCGCCAAATCCTGCTCCTTTGTAGACGGATCATGTGAACTTACTGACCTGTCCTGGAAATTTGGTGTGCTAGAATAGATTACTTCCTGTCTATAGCTGGGTGTCGTATCGACTTTCGGAGACTGAGTAGTAAGTTTGGTAGATTCTTGTTCGTAATAATGCTTCGGCTTTGTTTTCGTGGTTGATTGTTCGCCATAGTATGCCGTGCTGACAGGAGACGGCTTATTGTCGTAATATTGTCTAAATCTGAACTTTGAACTTGAGGACGGCGTTGAATAAGCAGACTCATACTTAGGACTGCTGGATTCCGGGGAAAAATTTTGAGTGGTCGAAGAATCGTAGGATGCGGTGGTAGCGATGGTTCCGCTTTGATCAACGTCACTGTAAGAATTTGGCTGGATTAAAGGCGTCGGGTTGGGATTTTGTTCGTCCGTCGAAGTGTTCGGTTCCGAGGATGTTTCCGATAAGTTATTGATAACAACAGAACCAATGTGCGGCGCTGGGAATGGTATTTTAGAATAACCTAGGGGCGGTTCGAAACTTAGCGGGGCGACGAAGAAAGGCAGTTTGTCGACTTTGCGTTCTACCCTGTTATGATCGATCGACGACAGGTAGGGAAGATCAAACTTTGCATAACCATAAGGAGGGTCGAGGTTTGACGGGCCCACGAATACCTGCGGGCTATCGGGACTGATGTTCTCCAGAACGGCAATGGTTTTCGCGTTTTTTAAGATCTTTAAGACATCAGTAACCTTGACGGTATCTAATCTGGACGTGGAACTGCCCATGTAAACGGAGAGGGGTGGCTGATTAGGCGATGGTGTGGTAGTGACCTCGCGGTGATTTGACTGTTCCTGATATTGATTGACTCGTGGACGTTGCCTGCCGCGAATCTTTTTGATCCTGCTGCCGTCCGTGAGATGCTGGCGACGTGGCTGTTCACGGATTAAGGCCTGGGATTGAGTGTTTTGGAAACTTGAACTGGTGACCCGTAATTGATCCTCCTGTTGACTTTCCAAAATTCTCTGCTGTTCCAACTCTAGCTTTTGTTTCTCCTCGCGTTGTCTGGCTTCTTCTTCGCGACGTTTCTCCTCCTTGATGCGAAGTTCGGAAAGCCGTCGTCGTTCAAGCTCTTCCTGTCTCTGTTTTTCTCTAGCATCGCGAATTCGATCCAATTCTCGTTGCCTTGCCATTTCCTCCAGCCTTTCCAATTCTTTTCGTTTCTTGTCGGCCTCTTTTTGTCGTAATAGTTCTTGTTCTCTTTGAAGGGCCTCTTGTTGCAATCGTGTTTTCCGTTCCAGCGCCTTTTGCTCCTCGTTCAATCTAGTGAACTCTTTTGCGCGTTCCTCCTTTAGGAACTGCGCTGTCTCTTGGTGTTCTTTTTGGATCTGCTGCAATACTTGCCGCGCAAAGGCTTCTTGATCGGGCGAAAGAGAGGTTTGGTCGATATTTGCTTGGTTCTCTCGTTGAGAATGCTGTTGGCGAACGGGATATTGCTTCCTTCCGCGGCCCTTTTTTGATTGACCTCTTTGCGCCAATGTTTCCGCCGGGACATATACTAGTTGAATCTATAAGATTTACATTTATTGCTATTAAAATGTATTATATCTTCAATTCTGATTTATAGATTTTTTTATGAAAACAAATGCTATTTCAAATACGAGACTATCGAATTTAACAAATAAAAAATCTAATGATATATCTTTTTCTTGGAATACTTATGAAATTATTCATTTAAAATATATTTTACAGTATGGTTGGTAAATATATTGACGCACAATTAAATTTTATTTTTGTTGCGATATCAAATATTAATTGTATATTGAATTATATTATTATTATTATGTATTATTGTTACAGATAATAATTATTAAAATTATCTATTATAAGGGGGGATTATTATAAGTAAGATAAAATTATAAGTGATAAAATTTGAGATAAAAATCAAATTTTGTTGCTTATTTCTTTGAAAAATCCAATATTTGCTTAAATCAGTCATTACCGTAAGTTCCACTTTTGTGTTTAAGAAATCAGATCAATTTATGATTTTGCTATGCGTTAGTTCCGGTTTCGCTCGGTTGATATATGAATCTTGAATATTCTTTACATGCTCTGTTTAATCTAACGATATCATCGTGGAGATAAGAATTGCAATGTTTGTTAATTTAATTTGTCGGAAAGAAAGCTACGTGGGAATTTTATTGTACGAACCTCCTCCTCCTCATCGCCCACGCTTCCAATCAGAGAAGGTTGCGGTAATCCTTGCCCTTTCAAACGTTTTCCGTCTGGTCTGTGACTTCCGGGTTTCGTTACATAAGTTTGCGGTACTTCTTGCGCATTCTCTACGTTCTCGTAATTTTGGCCGTGTTGCAGTGTAACTTGACCCTGAATGGGCAAATTCGATAGTTCTTGATTCTGATAGGCTTGTCCCGGTCTTTGGAAGTTCTGAGGAGGATGTACCGGCGGAAGTGCCTCCGAAGCTGGTTGCGGGGGTACCAGAGCTTCCGACATTAATTCAGGTGCCGATGGTAAATTACCTAAGGAACTTGGCGGTAGTTTCTCATCTTCGGCGTTACTATAATCACCGAGCGGGAACGGTTGAGTCTATAAATAAATGTAAAATTGAGAGTCTGTAAATAAATGTAAAATCAGTTGAAGGAAATAAAGGAGACTAACTTAATTGCATACAATTTTTTAATTCTTGTTAAATTTAATATAATATCTGTAGCTTTAAGGAGTACATTTAAATTTGTGTTTTTTATATAAAAACTTTTTGCTAAATTTATCTTTTTCAATATAAACATAGCTTCAATCTTTTAAAAAAATATATTAATTTATAGAGGAAGCTGTATAAAAAAAACGTAAATTCTTCAACATTTATTTTTGATGAAATTTTTTATAAAAAGAGTAAATTTAAAAATATTTTATATTCTCTACATAAACCATCTTACTTGAAGCTAAACCATCTTACTTGAAGAAGTTGTTGCTGAGTTTTGAGTTGTTGCTGCAACAGAAGGAGCTTTTGAATACTCTCTTGCGTTTTCTGCAGCTGAATCAGCTGGTCCTGGTATTGCTGTTGAAGGGCGGGTGGTAACGAGATCGTTTGGATTGGATTCGGTAAATGCGTACTGCTAGACAAAAGTCCGCTTTCCGCGTTATTCCGCTGCAATTGAGCGGATACAGATCCTGGATTAGCCAGGGGAATCCATTCGCTGTTAGATATTTGTCGTGACCATCGTTCAGCCGCGCATCTATCGAATCCGCCTAACAACGTTAGGACGATGAATACCGCGGTCGATGTGAAGCACCTCCGAACAATCTAAAAGCGACAATATTGATTAATTGCTCACGGAGTAATTAACTTTGGCGACGATACGTTCGTTACACTGACAGCGTAAAATTGCTTCGATTGACTTTGCACAGTGAATATGGGTCAACATCGACGTTGATTCGTTTTGGTGTAATTTTTAAAATAAAATATATCCGTGTGCGCACATTGTAAGTGGTATAAACTTCAGTTTCGTATTACAGAATAAATTGCGTACTATATACATAACGTATATAAAGCTATAAATAGAAATCTATTTGAAATTCTACGAAATGTCGTTTAAATCGAATTTAACAGTCAAAGGTAAAAATTAATTAAATAATTAAAATACGAAATGACTCTCTACATATTGAATATATTAAATAAATTTATTAATAAAAGATATATTTTGTTATGTAATACAGAAATAGAATCGAGTTATTTCATGTATTAGGAAACAGGATGTAAAGTACATTACAGGGTAAAAAACATCGTAACGCTTCGTGCGAGAGATACTAAGAAATCAACCGCAATTTCACTGCTATCATGTTGAGAATAAGTAATTGAGATCATGGACCGATGAATTGACCACGACTTGATTTAATGGAACCTGCGGTTTCATAATGCATCAAAGCTGCGACAAAGCTGCGACGAACAAGCGTAAGCACGTACACAATACTATTAATTACTTCCGATATGAATACTAATATTATTTCTTGTCAAACGTTTCATAAATAACTTTCTATATTATTATAAATGAATTGTTTCCTCATTGAGGGAAAGTTATATTGTTCTACGAGTAGAGAAGAGATATCTGATAGAAGAATAAAATTATTGAAATATATTGCAAATATATTTAGTAAAATAGTAATTCTGTCATCATTCATTATTGAATGATCTTTATTTTAATATCAATACAGAGAGAATTTCTATTGTTATTGTCAATTTCTTATTTAATTAAATAATATTTAATAAAAAAGAGATTGCTTTTCCTTTAATTATTATTAGACAGTTATATAAATTGATATTGATAAGAATAGTCATTAGAATTATATTTATTTCTTTTGTTTAATTGTATAAATTGAATAAAAATGTTATATATATATGTTTTCTGCATTGTGCATAGTCGGTATTTAAATGTAATTAAGCGATAAAAGATATGTCCTTTTATATATTTTTTTTAATATTGAATGAAAATATTAAATTTTATATCCATATATTTACACGTAATTAAATTAAATTTTTATTCTTTTATAAAATCGGAAAATTTTATACTATATTTCTATTTCTAATGTTTGCGATTGGCTCGTTCCGAGCACATTGCGAATGTCATCGATCGATCGTTCATCACGACCAGAGATGCGAATGACGCGTATTATTGCATCGGAATAACGCAGTGGTTGTTGTTCTGATATCTGCTTTCGATACAGTTTTCCGTTTCGTTTCCACTTCATTTATCGTACGCGGAATTGCACGCTCATGTATTAATACTCTATTTTGTGATATTTCTATTACATGAGTGGTTAAACGAAGGAATAAATTGTCAGCGATCACGTAATATCCGATCCGATAATTTTTACATGATATTTGATTTTTATTTATTTTTAAACAAATATGTAACATTTAAAGATTTTAAAGGTAAATCATAGCTCCAGTAATAGTGCGCTGAGCATGAATCATTTCACATGTAAAGACAACTTTCACTAAAGCTAGCTACCGCCTTTTGTCTATTTATATATTCGTACGACGATAATATAAATCTGTTATATCTTCATAATATTAATCTGACATAATATAAATATATATCTGTTTATTCTGATATAAAAAAAAGTTGCTATTATTTTAAAAAGGTTAGGTAATAATAATTTAAATCTCGTTAATAATTATTATAAGACTATTAAGACAAAAGAGTTTAATTTTCTTCAGCCGAGTATACGATATTAATTAAGATCCTAGGAATATTATAATTGTAGATAGAGTTTTAGATTGGTTTAATAACGCGATTAATTCGCAAGAAACATTTGAAGTGTTGGGTGACATGGTACTTTAAGTGAATGTAGTCGACCTTCTAGTTGTGGACACGGAAAGTGTAGGCATGTAACGTACTGTCTTAATCTATTTTATATCCGCAAGCAAATTGACGGGAGCGTAACCATTCATATGCATAAATAAAGAAAAAGGATAATTCTTTCTTTATTAATTGACCTTTTGCGATTTCAATATTTGGTTCTAATAAAATAATAAATTAATTTAAAGATTTAAATCCGACAACCATATCGGCACGCAATTATCATTTCTGAAATTAATTCATTTAAATGAATTTACAATAGTTCAACATCTTAACGTTCTGACCGTTATGGCGCTTCTTAATTTAAAGCATTATGTTTAACATTAGCGGTCTTTCAATCTTATTATAATTTAAAGATATTAATAAATGATAATTAATTTTCCAATAAATTATTTTACTAAACTATGAAGTAAATAATAAATATAATAAATTAAGAAATATTATAAAAATAAAACAAATCTTATTAGTTACTTAGTTAAAATTGAATTTATTACATTTACACGTCTAGATCTGATATAGAATCAGAAAGCGATTAGTAATGTTAAATTAATGATTGTTTGCCATTAATAATTGTTTAAGTAACGACTGTAAACAAAAATGCCATTAAAATTATTATATTGTTCTATTAATCTCATCATGATTAATTATCGTGATTATTATGCGACGATTACCGTCGTTAAAATTCGCAACAGATGTTATCATCGCATGTCGTCCGTGAATCGAGGAAACTTTTGGAGTGCGACCAGAGCTAACGAACTGTGAATCGCATCAAGTAGCGTACAGCAATTTCTAACAAATGACTCGGTTGTGATTATCTAGTCTTACGAGATCGCAAGTTGCCAGACGAAAATGATGATTAATGGATTGCACAAGTAATTATGCGAGAAATAAGGGTATGTAGTAATAAAAATCGAGTAAAATCTATTTGTAGTGATGACTATATGAATTGTGGTTTAACACATTGAATTTTAAACATAATATATGCAGTCATCGATAATCCCGGAAAAATATTTCGATGGTTGGAACGTGTTAAAGATCGCTATCGTACGTCTCGATATTATCGCTAACATGCTTCTCGATATTATTGGTGCAATTAAAGTTTGCACAATGATACCATCAGTATGATGATGATATCATCGTCGGAGTGAACGCTAATGTAAGGAACGCTAAGAATTCGTTAATTCCTGAACTGCATAATGATTTTTGAATGTGAATTGGTCAGGTCTTCGTGCTACTAACATGATTTTGATTACGCGCCGCGAGCGTGTCTATGTAATTTTCATTACGGAATATCACGTGTCAGACACGCCGCGTGATTTTTCTGCTTTCTTCGCGATTTTTTCCGAGCGCATTCCGACCGGTCAGAAACGAATTCATCGAGTGTAAAATAACGGTACGATCTACCGGAAGGGCCTCTTGGAAAAAAAGAAATCGATCCCGAATATATAAAACGTTTGCTTTGCTATATACTTATGCACGGCGTCATAAATGCATAGCCATCAGAAGTATCGAGGCATGTTCAAAACGCGCGTTCCTTTCTAAATATTCGTGCATTATGACTAATGGTTATTCGAAAAACGGTAATATAAATTTAAAATTGAATTTTTAAACTAGTCTTAAACTAAATGTATAATTTATAAGTAAAATTTAATAATATATATATATATATAAATATTTTATAAATAACGTAGTTATTACAGGATTATATAGGAGAAAAAACATATAAGAATATATATTCTTGTAAACTACTGGCAAAATTAAATTGGCCAGTAATTAATTATTTATTTTGATAAATATATTAATTAATTTCAGAAAATAAGAAAGAATTGCAGAATATGTCTAATCGCGATTTTATTTTTGTAAAAAAAATAATACTACGTTATTTATAAATTACTTATAAATTATTAAGTTATTTATAAATTATATATTTAGTTTAAGTTACTTATAAATGATTAAGTTTAGATATATTAAGTCTAGTTTAACTTTAATTCAATTTAAAAAAGATTAAAAGATAAAAGACATTACCATTTTTCGAATAACCATTAGTCACAATGCATGAATATTTAGAAACGAACGCACGTCTTGAACTCCATGTCTCGATACTCCTACAAATTCAGATGACTAGGCATTTATGACGTGTGTGTACATAATAATGGAATTCCGGAGAATTCGTTCGTTGTTTGCAAAAGCATCGGCAATAAAAAATTCACTTTCAAGAAGAACAACTACGAGTAATATAGAGACACTTTTTAAATATAATATATTGAAAAGAGCCATGTTGAAATCAATCAACTAATTATAAAATAAACACAATATCACAAATATAACATTATAAATTTTTGAAGTTTTATTACAATATTTATTTATTTTATTTCTTTTTATTCGGAAAGAAGAATTTTGTTGAAGTATCCAAAAATTTTTCAGATTTGTATGTGTACGCCTAGCTAAATTTTTTTATATTAGAAAGCAATCGCGCGAATATCTTTTAGTGATTTGATATTTCCTTCTCCTTCCCTAATAGCATACTTTATCCGAGATACATCCTGGGGATATCCTCAGGATGTTCAAAGGACATACGGACGTCCCTTGGAGGTCTGTACTGTAGGGATAATTTTAATTCCCGAGAGGAACATGATGATCACACTTGATTTAGTCAACTATAAAATAGTTGGCAGTCGGAAAAAGCATATCTTAAAAAGTGCTAGTTCAAGAATTTTCCATACTTTCATTCACATTTGAAAGTATGCTGTCCTGTGATATCGGTGCCGTTGCAATTCTGTTTTCAATCCTAGTCGATAGCTTCCCACGCGCACCTAGCTGTGGGTGTGACTGAAGCTATCCGTTTGCCGTGGCCGTCAAAAGAAATGACTTTCTCTCGGTTAATGGAGGTGCACGTAAAGCATGATGCGATATTCCCCGTTCTTGTTGAGCTTTGCTCGTAAGA